GATAATAAAACACATTTTCTTCAATCTTATGCAAAGGCATTGAGAGCAAAATACTGTCATTTTATGTATATAGTTGTCATCGGTACTAAATGACCAGTGTTATCAACATCAATAAAATGAATGTATTACACATTTACAGAAACAAAACGCACAAAACCTCCCCCCCCCCCAAAAAAAAAAAACGCCGGTGAAAACAGATTGACATTATCTTTATGAAACGTTTTCTCCAATCAACGTGCTGCAATGAAGTGGCCTGAGATTTGTATGAAATATCTCCATTGTAGAAAATAATATTATTAGGTTGTTCAAATGTGAGAAACCACACAAAAGAAAAAGTATGCATGGATCTTAGTCTGTAATTATCACCATCATCGTAATCATCGTCATCATCATCATCATCATCATCATCATCATCATCATCATCATCATCATCATCATCATCATCATCATCAGTTTCATCAGCAGTGGCAGCACGTGAAAATAAAACACCCTGTTAAACAAGTGGATGTTTTGCTTTAATAAAAGGAAGAAAAAAAAGGAAGAAAAGAAAAGAAAAAGAAACACATTGAGATATTAAGTAAGGGTAAACTACGGAGTAAGCATGCGCAAATAAGTTATTAACACTACCCTAATGGGAAGGATGGACCTGCTAAGACGGAACCAAGTTATCAACATCAGGTTTCAGATTTGTCAGTAGCAGACACTAATCGCTACGCTTCTTCAGCAACCTTGTCACTGCACTGAATCCCCTTTTTACTAGATAGGAGGCGTGAAAAGAGATGAACAACAACTTGATCTTTTCCCACTTGGAGGGATATTTGTCTAGCACAACAGTTTTCAACCAGAATGACTGGTACGGCGTTTTGAACAATGGTTTGATTTCAAAGTCACATTTCATTGTCAGAAGCTCTTCTTCAACTGCTACTTGTAAGTTATCATATGTTTCAGCGTTCAATGGGTCCAGTATCCAGTATGGAATTTCCAGTTTAAAAATATGAGGAGGCTAAAACTTGTCTTCATATCAGCATGCAAATCTCTGAGGTGGTTGCTATATATATTTGTAGTTCCTCGTCAGAAATGCGCCCTTCTTTCAGTGTCTTCGTCAAGCTAGGAAACTTAGCAAATTTTCTTCTGCCAATGTTTCGGTGGATCATTTCCAATTTCGACAAGAATGACGAAAGCCTCGATCAGGTTGGTGTCATCCCCCTGCAGCTGAAAGTTGAACTGGTTGAACTTTGTGAAAAGATCTGTGAGGAGTGCAATGTTGTTCTTGTGTTCTTTCAGTTTATTGCAGAGATCACTGTCTGTTTCTTGAAAAAATAAACTCCAGCACACAGTCAAACAGGCAGAACAATAATCGTGTTCAACAGTTTCCTTTCGATAGCCACCAGACTTCAGTGTGCAAAAGTAAGCATTGAACGTACTCGTCATTTTCAGTGCACAGCTGTTGAAATTTATAGTCTCGAGTTCAAAGCGTGGACTTTGATCTTGTTCACACACTTGATGACAATGGCCAGTGTGTCATGCAGACTTTCATTCAGGTTTTTTTGCCACCAAATTCTGTCTGTGAATGACACAGTAAACAGTAAATACTCCATGGACTGATTTCTTCAAGAAGTTCATAAATCCACGTTTCTGACCTGCCATCGACGGTGCCCCATCTGTTGCACATGCAACTGTATTGGTCAGAGAGATCTGTTCCTTCTCGAAAAATTCTTGGACCACTTTGAAGATGGACTTGCCTTTGGTATCTGTTTCCAACATTTTCGCAAATAATAATTCTTGCATTATTTCCTCATCCTCTATGAACTGATATCCAGTTAAAGGCTGAGCTCACAGCATTTCGCACTGTGATTCCTCAACATTTGCTGACATCTCACCAATACGTCTTTGAATGGTATTGTCACTAAGTGGGAGAACTTTCAACACAGGCTCCGGGGCACGTTGCAGGACTGTGCTGACCACCTCTCTTATCGCAGGCATTATGAGGTTCTCGCCAATAGCATGGTGTTTGGCTGCCTTTGTAATTAGCTGAGATAAATTATATGTTGCCTGTAAGCCTTCATCAGCTTGATCGACGTTGGCTGCAAACATCGGTTTAACTGATTTTCATTTCTGAAAATTGATCTTTAAAGTTTTGAAGTATGCCAAATCTTTGTCAGATTTGTCGTGATGAATCTTCTTTATAAGAGATTTGAGTGCTGGGAAAGAAAGTTCTTAGTAATAAGTAGTATTGTAAACTATGCCTAAGCTATCAATTTTTGTTTTTGTTTTTGTTTTGTATGTGGCTTTTTTCCATTCATCATGCGCAATTCTTCTTCACTTTAATCCAAGCTATGACACATGCCATGCCACCAGTCATCCCTATCCCACAGTCATCTGCGCACTCACCCCCCCCCCCCCCCCCCTCAACCACAGGGTAACAAGTGGCGTCGGTGGCCTAGTGGTTAGGCTCTCGGACTCGCAACCGTAAGGTCGTGGGTTCGAATCCCGTCAAGGGCCCGACGTCGTGTCCTTGGGAAAGGCACTTTACACGAATTTTCTTCACTTCACCCAGGTGGGAATGGGTACCCGGCTATAGACAGCGAAAGATCTTGTCAGTTTGTTAGTGTTTGAGCGCTTAATCGGCTGCTCGCACTGTATGCTTCCCGGGAAGCTGAAAATGTTTCGGAGTGTTCTATGGTCTGCTGGGGTAATAATATAGTGTAAAGCGCATAGAGCCTGCTGTTGAGCGGGGATATGCGCTATACAAATGCTATCTATTATCATTATTATTATTATTATTTTAAGACCTGTTCTTCGTCACCTCGACAGATGAACAACAACAACAACAACAACAGCAATAACAGCAACGACGACGACGACGAGAACAACAACAACAACAACAACAACAGCAGCAGCAACAACAACGCAATTAAAACAACTGGTTTTGTGAACGGTCAGTCATCAACAAATGACCGAGATCCAGTTGTAATGAGGCGCTCGTCAAAATAATGATATCGAAGAAAACTACTTGTTTGGATATTAAAAAAAAAAAAATGTTTTTCGGCTCAACACCTTTTATCTCTATTAAAAAAAACAAAGTTATATCTGGATGTTATTGAAAAACGTTGTTTAAGGCAAAAAAATATTTCATTTTCATTTCCCAAGGACTATCAAGCTATGGAAGTTACCAAACTTTGGCGGCCACAGTCTCTATAAATTTACCTCCGAAATGAGGTGACCCAAACCTTCTTCAAACAGAAATATCTCGACTGCTATTAAAGATAGATGGGTATTTTTTTTTCATCAAATGCAAAACAAATGCATAATAAGCTTGAAGGTGATATCATTAACTCAACATGCCTAAAATTGACTAACACCAGGTAATCGAGGACGTTCTACATCATACGCAGAGTGATCGAACACAGAACAGTATAATATATTATAGAGTAATCAGGGCGGGGTATATTAAACACCGATGGAACACACTTTCTGGAAGCCCCATTTAAACATGGATTAATTAAAGGTAGATTTAACTAACAGACTTACAATGCATGGATCGCTTTTGTAAAATCAAAAATCAACTTAAAATCCTTTTCATTTCCTTAAAAGATATCATAATAATAATAATATGAGGCATGGTTTCACGAAATTGTTCTAGTTATTACGCAAAGACCAACACTGCAAGAGCTAATCTAATCAGACAAACTTTGGTCTTGTTCAGTAAAAGGATTTTAGAGGGAGAAAAACAAATAGAGGGGGGTGGAGGGTGGGAGAGAGATAGAGAGAGAGATAGATAGATAGATAGATAGATAGATAGACAGATAGACAGACAGACAGACAGACAGACAGACAGACAGACAGACAGACAGACAGACAGACAGACAGACAGACAGACAGACAGATAGATAGATAGATAGATAGATAGATAGATAGAGAGAGAGAGAGAGAGAGAGAGAGAGCGAGCGAGAGAGAGAGAGAGAGAGAGAGAGAGAGAGAGAGAGAGGGATAGAAATAGAGATTGATAGATATGCACAAACACAACACACACAAATGTACGAGCATGTATACACGCAATTATGTAACATATAAACATAGCAGTATTATGTAAAGTACAGATGTATAGTATGTGTACATGACATTATAAATAAGTATATATATATATATAGAAGAGAGAAGGAGGGAGAAAGAGAGAGAGAGATAGAGATAGAGAGAGAGAGAGAGAGAGAGAGAGAGAGAGTGTGAGTATACGTGTGTGTGTGTATGTGTGTGTGTGTGTGTGTGTGTGTGTGTGTGTGTGTGTGTGTGTGTGTGTGTTTAGTTTTAGCAAGAGTTTTACAGCACTTGAAACACAATAAAGTCATTACGAGAAGGAGCAACCACAACAGAGCTCCCGCCAACCATGGCACCCACTTGTGTGTGTTTTTGTGTATGTGCATGTAAGTACGTTTAAAATGAGAGTAAGTGTGTGTACGAGCGAATGAGAATGCTTGTGCGTGTGTATGTGTATGCTTGGAAAAGACAGACAAACAAAAGGTGTATCCTTTTTTTTTCTTTTTAATTGATAAATGTCAATGCATGCCTATCCGGGCCTTGTAATAAAGTCTTCTTTTAGTGAACAATCTGAGATAAAAAATGAAACCTTCCCCTCCCCCCCCCCCAAAAAAAAACACAACAAAAAACAACAAAACAAATAAAACAAAACAAAAGAAAAAAAACACAGAGGCACACATACACACATACATGTACGCACACCCACACACATACGCACACACACGGAGACACAGACACAGACAGACACACACACAAACACACACACACACACACACACACACACACACAAACACACACACATATAGATCTAGATTCTATATACACATACACATTTTTCTATTCTCGTCTACTAAAAGATCTCTGGTCCGGCTCTACAATCGAAATGACCAGAAGATAACACACGATTGAAAGATTGCCTGGGCCTAGGTCTAATAACATGTTTACAAACAGCTAACAAAACTCACCTTTATAATTGTTTTTGAAGAGGGTGTGGAATCCGCACACTACACAGGTATGTCGGCTTTGAAATCCGGAAAGTACCGAATAAAATTATGGCGCCGTGTTACGATATCCAGCCAATTTCTTGAACACGAGTCGTGAAAATCAGCACTTGAACAATTTTCACCCCAACACACGTCTCTGAGAAGGAATGGCAAACACTTGCTCGACTTTTTCGAACTTAATGTACTAGATCTTTAATCGTATGGGCCACGTTTGACAACCAAACAGCCTCTCGTGTTTGAAAAAAGATCCCCTATAACACCATACAGCTCTGCACTTTGACAACACTCCCTGTAATAAAATAATATAACCCGTACGTAGTCCCAGCCAGACAAGAACTCAAAGCCTTGCTGGCTCAAAATAATAATGCGTGAGTGGGACGGGTAGTGGCGGGGCGCTCGGGAAGAATGAAACGACTGACCGACTTTCCCCCACAACATCCCAGCGGCCGAGTTCGGCCTATGTCGAAATAGAAACTGTTGTTTTGACTGGCTGGCTGGCTTTCTGGCTGGCTCGCCTGCCGCGAGATCTAGTTCAGGTCGCTCACTGGGCCTTATTTCCACAGGTGACACAACCAACGGGACGACGCCTGCGCGGGTCTACTGTTACTTTACACTACTACAGCTCGCCGCTACTTGAAAGAGGAGTGGTGATCGGGGTCGAACCGCCCACAACAAAATACATGTAAGCTGCTGTTGCTGCTGCTGCTGCTGTGTCCCGCGTGTTATGTATGTCTCAGGCAGTGTGGACGCAGGTGGTGTCAATGGAAATCAATTCAATACAACGACATATCTGTCTGTCTGTCTGTCTGTCTGTCTGTCTGTCTGTCTGTCTGTCTGTCTGTCTGTCTGTCTGTCTGTCTGTCTATTTCTCTGTCTATATACCTCAAATATAATAGATCTACACATAAATCATGTAATATGATATAATTACATGTAGATCTATATATTTTGCCTATAATAATATAATATTATAAAATAATATATAAACTAACCTCAAGATTGTAGACTACTTTAATTCGCCTTCCAATTAAATTTTTTTTAGTGAGTCGTGACAACACGTGTATTCAGTAGACGTCTAGATCTACGTGTATTTGGTATCGTTTGATGGTCTGCAAAAACAAGGATCATCATTCTCTCGATACTAATTCATTAGAATAAACGGTAACGTAGTAAAGCCTCGTTGTACATGTATTTCCGTCGACGGCCAGACGGGGCCATATTAACTCTTAAGTTTCCGGAAGGCTACTCCTCTTTTATACGGAGCCAATTTTACTACTACTACTACTACTTCTACTACTACTACTACTACTACTACTACTACTACTACTACTACTACTACTACTACTACTACTACTACTACTACTACTAAATTACATTTATATAGCGCTCAACCCCGATAAAAGTACACAGGCTCTGAGCGCTTTACAATACAATACCGGCACAACAATATCATAAAACGTTGTTTTGACCAAAAGAAAATCTCTCCAAGTATTCGCCTTTTTAGAAAAAAAACGTTAATTTAGCTGACATTTGAAAGAATCAAAGGATTTTATCTCTGTTAAAGTACCTGGCACAGCAATCAAGATCTTGGGGCCTTGATATTCAAATGCCGTTCACCCATTGTTTTAAGTTTCATAGGTGGTAAAGGAATTTTCCTTTTGTCAATCGATGGCCTTAAACCGCGAGTTGGAATGTACAATCTCAACAGATTTGATAAATATGTCAATATAATAATAATAATAATATATTAATCTGTTATCTCGACATCCACATTTATTTCATCACCACAAACTCCCCTATAACTCTTCTCCTATTTAACCCATGTGCATACATCATCATCATCATCCAGTGCCAGATCTGCGACAGACATCGGCGATCATGATTTTCCATTCATTCCTTTGCTCGGATGCTCTCAGAAAAGCTACGTTTCCCTGATCTTTCCCTGTTACCCATTTGTTTAGGTTCCTTAAGTATGTTGTTCTGGACCTACCCCTGCCTCGCTTGCCCTCAATTTTGCCAGTGAGAGCTAGATGTTCAAGACCCTTATGTCTATTCAGGTGTCCCAAAAACTGCATTTGTCGTTTCCTGATTGTTTTTAACATTGAGCGTCCCACGTGGGCTTCATCAAGCACTACCTCATTTGATTTCTTTTCCTTCCACGATACTCTTCTTCATCAAGCACTACCTCATTTGATTTCTTTTCCTTCCACGATACTCTTAACAGTCTCCTAAGAAACCACATTTCTGTTGCCTCTATTTTATTTTCACAGTCTTTAGTGATTGTCCAGCGTTCACAGCCATATAGAAGGGTTGACCAAACATAGCATTTCAGGACTTTCATTTTGTTGTTCATTGATATGTTTCTATTTTTCAGGATTGGGCTCATTATATTGAAACTAGCTTTAGCCATTGCAGTTCTCCTTTTTATTTCTGTGGAAGATTTGGCATCAGATGTTATCATATATCCTAGATATTTAAACTGTTGGACTTGTTTGATCTTTTCACCTTTGCTAATGAGATTACAACTAGGATTTGCTGCTTTTTTGGACACTACCATGCATTCTGTTTTCTTTACATTAACAAAAATCCTTTACGTTCACTTTCTTTTACAACAGTAATCTAGAAGCAGTTTGATTATACTAATACATAAGATGACTTTGTCGAGATTTGGTAGATTTTTGGTATGACCAGAGAGTCTGTATACATGTACTAGCGTAGCGTAATTCAAAGCTCTCTGGTATGACTGTAAACAGCCGAGTGATGCTGTGAGTCAGCTGGACTAGAGTACCGTAAACTAAGAGTTAACAACGAGCTGTCTGACTGAGCATGCTATACTCTTTAAAAACTGAATACGGCCTGACAAGGCAACATGGGATCATATCAGTTCACGCTTTGCGTAAGCCCCATTCATTCAATATCGGCATGGCCCGTGATAATTGTACTGCGCTCGGTCTCAACGTGTTTTTATCCCGATTTCATCGCGTTCATACCTTTGCTCCTCGATCTCAACGCTTTGAGGTTTTCTTTGAAGTTCACTTCAAAGGGTATGTATCGAACACATTTTTTGTTCTTACGGAAAGCTGGCATGAGTACACATTCGAGTATCAATAATTGTTAGACATGCGCTAAAAGCTAGGCTAGAATCTTTTTCCCCCCAGCATTTCCCCTCTGCGTTATAATCTAGATGTGGGACTGCTATCATACATAAATATTGCTTTTGGTAACTATCTAAGTGTGAGCACATTAGAAATGGAATGGGGGCTCTCGTGGCCTAGAGGTTAAGGTGTTGGCCTCTCATTCAAAGGTCCCGGGTACGAATCCGGGTAGCGACCGAAATGTTTTCTTCTAAAAAAATTGTCTCTTTTCAACTCCTTACCTGCTCTCTGGCATTGTTCTGTCGTCTGCTTGCGCCCCAATTTTCTGCCCCCACCCCCTCATCCCCTTTGCACCCTTATCACTCCTGACTCTTTCTGCAGTCTTTCTACTGCTACTCCGTGGCTCCCTCTGACTGCTGTCTTTCAGCCACACCCACGATCTTTTAGTAGGAAAGATCTACACCTAGCCTTCTCGGACAAGGGCGAAAAATCTCGGAGGTCCCATGTGCAAGCTGCGCACGTTAAAATTCCCTTGTTGGTCTAAAACCGATAAGAGTAAGCTTTGGCCGTAACCAAGGCAAAATTCAAAATTTCATACCAACTAAAAATGTTCAATGAGGGTCCTGCGCGCTCATACGACCATATTTTGCAGTTGCCAGCGCCGTAAATCACTTACAAAAAACTTATTATATTATCATGACATGTATTACTATTATTAAGGAAAATACATTCTGTAAAAGGCCTTGATTTGACTTAAGATCACATTTTATACCTTATGAAACTGCCAGCATGCTGCAGGCATGTTGCAAGAACAAAGACACCAGTCTGCCAGAATTCTTATATCATTATTGCGTTGTCATTAAATTTCTGTATAATTTCCCGTTTCGACAGAACTTCGTTCAATTCAGCGCGATTCCTTCGTAATTGTGTGCGTGTGTGTGTGTGTGTGCTTGTATGTGTGTGTGTGTGTGTGTGTGTGTGTGTGTGTGTGTGTGTGTG